GCCACCTGAATGACTTTAAACCACAATAAACAGCCCCCAAATAACACCACAGCTCATAATCTTCACTTTTTTCGAATACAATTATTCGACTCCACCCAATGCCCTCGTCTACAAAATGGAAATCTTCGGGATGCTAAAATTACACATTTAAATATGCAGTCTAGGGCATATTATTATTAATTATTATTATTAGTATTATTATTAATTCATGATATTCTTTATCTGACCACATTTTTCTTTGGCCAATTAGTTTGCCTCTTAGTTAGGTGTTTTAAGCAGCCTCAGCTTTGCGCAACCCTTTGCTTGTATGGATTCGTTAGGGCTCGCATGATCTGATGTTTTGTAGTGCTCTTTCTATCGGCTGTATCCCTCGATCTGCTCTTAGCGTCACTTAGGCCGATAGCTGTGCAGAACTGCACTTGCTATAAGTATGTATATGTAGCATTACGAGTAACCCATCCTGAAAGTCTGTTAAACAGCTTAAATGTGCTCGCTTGTACCAACTATCGTGCTTTTTACCATCACAAATCATGGCCGTGTTTCCCTTTTATGGGGAATTTCGCCGCACCAATTGTGCTGTTCTTGTGCGACTGAAACGGGCTTTGGTCTGTTGTTGCGTGTGTGCATGCCACCTGAGTATATTTCCCCTTCTTGAATGTAGCTCCCCTACATAGCAGAAACTACGCATGCATCTTATGAAACTCCTTCTTACACTTTAGTTATGGTGTTCCCTGGTACATTATTACTTATTCTGGGTGAGCCAGCACCAATCGATGTTAACTGCACAGACGGTATCCGCTGGATTTGGGTAGTCTTTCGGCAGTGTGCCGTATCGCCGCAGGAGATAGTCGCAGTTACTTTCGGCCTCCTCTCAACTACTATATGGGTCGTGTTCGCCGTTCCTCAAATCGTAGAGAACTGTCGCAAAGGCATTCCTGACCAAGCCGTTTCACCATTTTTGCTTCTGTGTTTCTTAGTCGGTGACACTGTTAATCTTGCCGGTTGCATTTTCGTTCATCAGCTACCCTTGCAGGTGAGTCACGACTCGACCTTCTACGGTTTTGCATTTTCCTTCCATTGATTCTATTTTTGTCACCCATTTCTATTACTTAAAACTGGATTCTTGCTTCATGAATACCTTTCGCAGTTAGGTTTTTGAGTTTACTTCTGTCTATTATTATTGCTATGCTTTGCAGTGGAATTCTGTAACATCTAACTGCTCTTATTGGATTATTATGATTAGGAACATCAAGCACATTTAAAGCTTGTTCTCCTTAATTTTTACTCACCCCTTCTAGATGATCATGGCTGCAATCGGGATACTTGGTGATTTAATTCAAATTCTTCAGTTTTTATATTCCAAGTACAAGCACAAAGCGGCCCTTCAAAGTAATTATTTCTTTAAAGCTCACTGTGGGATGGTCTCCTCGTGACCGTCTTTCCATTAATAGTGTATCGTTTTATCTTTTGATTAAAGCCTTGTGTAATCTGCTTTTTTCATGTCGCCTAGACTTTGCCACGCCTATTGAAGTCCTCGCGTCAAATGATTCTAGTTCAGATGGAATTACTGGCAACTATGGTCGGCTCCCTTCTTCAGCATTGGCTGTGTTTTGCCCCTTGGGGGTTTTATGCTTAACCGGACCTTTTTGGTCTATGGGTTATCAAAATCACAGGAATCCTTATCCATTGCTTCGCCGTCTGCTCGTCGTTGAATCAACAGCCACCCATGCTCTACATTCTGGACCTCTCTTTCCTGTATGTTTCTGTATCACTGCTTCTAACATCGGTGTGAATAATCTTTTCCTCACTGAGAACTTTTTGCAAACTCAAAATTGGACTACTATTAATATGATGTAATATGTGCAATCACCTTATTTTGGTAAATTTTTTTACTGTAGTACATTTCTGTATGTTATGTGAGAACAATTTTCTCCCTATTTTTCGGCAAGATTTATCAAATAAATCAACCAGCATTCCTTCATGTTTGAGGAGTTCAATCGTTTAGGTGTCATGCTAACGGTTCATTCCAGGAATCGTATAGCTTCCCATGCTTTCCGACCAGAAAAATGTAAATACGCTCTCATTTCCCTTCTTTGCAGACTAGTAGCCTGGTTGTTGGGTATGTGCTGGGTTGGATATCTGCTTCAATTTATATTTCCTCAAGAATTCCCCAAATACTAAAAAATGTAAGTCGTCTTTTTTTTGCTAAACGTTGTAAACGCTAACGCTAGTATTAGTTCTATGTTCAAGTCTAAGAACATATAACAGGTCAAGTAATAGTGGAGCCACCGGTCCGTCAAGAGTAGGTTCTACATCCTCACTTAAAGAAATAAGCTAATTTATCGACCCGTAGGAATAATGGTCTAATGATCTGGTAAACTCATCCGTCTATTTACACCCCGAGAACTGGAGCGTCTTTTCGTTGGTTTTAGTGGCGACGTGGCTCAACGGATGGTCTCAGTCCAATAACCTTTATCTTCGCCATCGTGGGAAATGTTGCGTACGCATTGCAGACCTTTTTGACTTCCGTCGAGCTCACGTTCATCATCCGCGCCCTCCCTTGGCTCTTCGGTTCCCTGGGTGTCGTCCTCTTTGATCTCATTGTGCGTTTAACTTTATCTTCCTTTTCATGTAGTCGCATAAATTTGTGCTCCCTGTTCCTTTTCCGTTTATGAAGACACCGAGGAAGTATTCATTACATTTCTATTGAAATATTTGTCATGTTGTTTCTCTAATTTTCTCACATTTCTCAGTTATGCAGGATTTTTAGCAGTGCTAGCGGAAAAGCTAGTTAGTACTTTACAAACAATTATAGGAAACTATTAACTTGACCAGAACGAACTTTCGTTTTTTAAGACGATCCAACGCCAAAATAATGTTTTCTGCGCAAACTTTATACAAGGATTTCAAATCTAAATTTGCAGTAATGTTGTATGCTTGGAGTAAGACTAGAAATATTTTACTCAGGCTTACTCGATTTCTGCTAGTTTGTGGGAGCGACTGCAAATTAATTCACTTTAAACTATGTCTTCCTGTGAAAATTCCGCTTTTTCTAGATTTGCGCACAGTTTTGCCGCTATCATGGAAGGGGCTACATTTCACTGGAGGAGGATGTCGAAGTTACCACGTGTTGAATCGGCTTCCACTGACTCACTTTGTTCCATTTTGTCTCTGATTTACACGTACTATTTCATTATACATTTCGGCGTCTTCAGTCCCTTTCTTTTTAATGCAACGCTTGCATCATCATTTTTGGCCATCGCATTTACGTAATAGATGTTTTTATCGAATAACTTAAGCGGCTCGTTCAGCTGCATTTGAGTCCCTCCATTTTCCTCTGATAATCACATTTGCACGGAAAGATTATTTGCATTGTGTAGCACCCCGAGGCCTCCCTCTAGGTAGAAGATGAAAACATTAAGCTGGGCTGAATACGTGTGTTCTGGGGAGAGTAGAAGGGCCCGAAGGTCAGCCCACGCGTACAAGTGCAAGACGAATTCTAAAGTGACCAATGGCCAATACAGGCAGTGACTTAAACAAAGTATTACAAATGTCCCTCCACAGTAGTACTATTTCTCTAGCCGCTC